GCTGTCTGAGGGGTGAATCCAAGGAACGGCTTCTCTCAGGCTTCCGCTCACTTTTCTCTTTGTGTAAAACCAAGGGATTGGCCTGGCATGGCCCTTACTTGATTCCAGTTGAAGGCAGAAGACTGAAATGCTAATATGGAATCCCTTCAACCTAGTCAGAAAAACTTAAATTGTATTAAAAACACAATTTGAAGCATAGGCAGAGTATTAGCTACCTTGGTTGTTAATAGCTGAGACCTTCTGAGAACATTACCATAATGACACCCAGGAATACTCTGGATCTGTGCCAGAACTACTTAGTATGTTCTTTCTGCACAGTCACTGACATGACCATTACTCTGTTTCTTTGAATTGCACATTATGTCCTGGGAAGGTCAGTTTTGGAAGTTATGAGACCTGTATTCTGGCCCTAGCTCTAGCTCTGTGATACATTAGCTCTGTAGATTGGGGCCTTGCCTTATAGGGCCTCACTCTTCTCATCTGGAAAATAAAGGTTGGAGCTAGATAGGTCAGTAGAGCTAGATGAGTAGTTCTAGATTACTACTTGGAACCCCACCACCCAGGACAGCTCTCCTCAGTACACCTAAGCCTCTACGCCAGGGGTCCTCAAACTTTTTAAACAGGGGGCCAGTTCACTGTCCCTCAGACCGTTGGAGGGCCGGACTATAGTTTAAAAAAAAACTATGAACAAATTCCTATGCACACTGCACATATCTTATTTTGAAGTAAAAAAACAAAACGGGAACAAATACAATATTTGTATTTGCATGTGCCCCGCGAGCCGTAGTTTGAGGACCCCTGTACTAAATAATGATTGGGTTACCAGTGAAATCCCCCCCCTCCCCCCGCCACTGACACATCCCTAGTCAGTCTCAAGATGATGCCATAACACATGGAAATGGGGAGGGGGGCACATGTAGCTTTCCCAGATTGAAATATTGCAGACACTGCACTCATTCCACCTTCATCCCAGCTTCCAAGCTCTAAGTTTATGAACTAAATGCCCTCTGTGTCCAGTCCTAGGATGTTCAGATCTTCACGGTGACAGTAATTTGTGGATAAGAGTTCCTGTGCTTGTACAATTACCGCATGCTAATTTTTGCATGGTGGGAGTCTGATGGTACAGTACATACAGACTTTTCCTCCTCCTCTGAAGCATTAGTCTCGGCTGGACTTTGTTATTTGCCCTTCTCCATAATTTCTGGGGCCCAGTTGCTTTAGATTATTAATATTAAGATACTAGATGAAGTGATCCATTTTTAAATAAACGTGACATCTTGCAGTGTGGATAAAAGGCTGCCATGTGTGGTGTTGCTGAGAGCTACTTTACTTTGCATAAAAAAGTCCTTTATTACATAGTTGGTGACACTTGGGCTTTCATTTATTTCTGAACAGCATGATGTAGAAATAAATAAAATTATATCCACAACTGCATCAAAGACAGAAACATCAACGGTGTCTAAATCTCTGAGCTCTTCTTTGGATGATACTGAAGTTAAGAAGGTGATGGAAGAATGTAAGAGGCTGCAAGGTGAAGTCCAGAGGCTGCGGGAAGAGAACAGACAGTTCAAGGTAACAGCATTTCCTTTTCTGATAATCTGAGAAAGGGGGCTTCTTCCCTAGGATCTTGGGGAGGGAAGTTGATGAACCCCTGAATTTGTAGGCTTGTTTGTGTTTGCACACTTTTCTCCCAGGGAGAAATTCCATAGCTTTCATCAGTTTCTCAAAAAGGCCTTGAACTTCCCCTTCCCCCATCAAGAACCTGTGTCTATTTAAACTCTTGTCCCCTGGTGTTAAAAACAAACAAACAAACAAAAAACAAAACCCCTCTCACCTTCCATTAGTGTAAAATGAATATAAGACATAAAAAATAAAGCAGCAGTGGTTATGTGGAATTTACATTTTCAAATCCCATTTCATCCCCACTGGAGGAGAATCTCTTTTTGAAGAGAGTAGATACCGACCTCCATTTTAACGCAGGCATAATTCTGACTTTTGAAGATTCTAAATGAATCTGAACATAAAGCCCTTGTTACACTATGAGCATGGCGATGAGGTTGGAGTTGTCAGAGTAGGTGGAGATTGTGGAAGGAGAAACCCGTGTCCAGCCATGGGCAAGATGGCTGGCAGTGGTGCTGGAGGGTCAGGCTACACTGGGTGGTAGAGGAAGGAGGCGGGGCACTGCTCTCGCCTCGGAGGCCTGTGGTGGTGTGGAAACAACTAGTCAGACTTGAACTAGCTCTGAGTCTAGTGTGTGTTAATCACAGCATCTCCTGGACCTCTTTCCCAAAATACCTCTGCAGCCCCTTCCAGCTTTAAAAGTGTGTCTGTTCTAGACACAGTAGTGAAGAAAACACTTCTGATCATTTGATCAGAGGAACTTTTGTTGCAGCTTAAATTTTGAGGCTGACCTATTCCCTTCATCTTGGTTGTGCCACCCAAGCATGTAATAGGTTTTCGCTCTCTAACTACCACAGCACTCGGTTCTCGTAACAAATTCATTTCCGCCGACTCTTCTCTTTTATTCTGACAGTGTGGTCGGTCTAAAACTGTCAGTGCCTGGGAAGCGGCACTGTCTTCTTTTCCTGAAGAAGTCTTCATTGGCCTCATGCCGTGGAATAAATTAGGAAGCTGACTTTTTACTCTTTGGCTAAAAATCTAAGATACGCCTAAAGCTTCTTCTTGAGTATATTTCTCTTTAGAAACAGAGTTCTGTGCCATTTAAAGTGATAAATAGGTAGAAATAGCTTCTATATAAACCCAATAAAATAAACGCTGTATTTTGCTGTGCCCATTTTTTTTAAGTTAATCGAATAACACTGGTCATTTATCACACTGTGCATCGATATTGGCTATGTCCCATGAGCAGAATATCTTTAAAATATTATCAGGCCAATCTTGACATTAGAAGATTCTTTATCCTGCCAGACACTGATTTCTTGTTTTGTGTTTTTTCATTCTTTTATTTGGCCAACAAATTTCCGGCCCTACCGTGCACCCAGCACTGTGGGTACAAATGAGAGCAGTCCTGCCCTTGAGAAGTTACCTGAGAACAGAGAGACATAGGCACAAACTTTGACATAGAGTGACAAGCAGTTCCACAGGTACATGGAGAGTCGGCTTGGTGGGCTGGCTGCTGCTTGTCTTCAGGACCTGATAGGCACTAGGTGGATGTGAAGGAATAGAAGGAAAAGAAGAAGAGAAAGTGCAGCTGGTTTGTGAGTCCTGGGATGAACAGATGGGTCATTTGCCAGAGTTCTAGCTGCAGAGTATGGCTGTGTGGCAGATAGGAAGGCTTTGGTGTGTGTCCTGTGTAGGGATGTAGGGCTGGCCTGGGACAGGGAAGGAGGAAGAAGGGCCATTTCCTTGCACACCTGTTGGTGGAGGAATGTAGCCAGGTACCTTTATATATAGGAAAAGCAATGTTGCCTCTTCAATGGAAAATCCATGCACCAAGTAGAAAATATTTGAGATGCATGTATCAAGTTGAGTCACATTTTAATATTCCAAATTCATGTTATTTGAATAATGAGAATCCAGCAGTCTACATGTAACTCATCAAATACCTGTACACAGCTCTGCATTGGAAAACTTCCAGGTCCCCTGCTTCCAAGTTTCTTGCGATTTTTATATTCCTGTCTTGAGAGGTACCTATTATTTCAAAAACTGATGACTTCATTAGGGAAGCCTGTTCAATAGAGGAAGGAAGGACAGAGGGGTTGGGGTTGGATGTAGGTGAAGAAGAGCAGCTGGGAGACATGGCCAAAAAAGTGGGTGTGTCCAGACTAGACCATCTTAAGAACTTTTTTCTATAAATCATGGGGAACCAAGGTGTGCCCTGCTTGGATTTGTGGTGCAAAAATGTGTAGGATGGATGGAAGAAAAGAGGGGCTTCTGATATTTTTTAGTGTCCTCAAATCAGCCCCCTCCTAGGCTTCAAAATGAGGAAGTTGGACCACATCATGGGGTCTGAGTGTGGGTATGAAAGCCCCCTGCTAAACTGTACAGCTGACTCTGCTTCTGGTGTGTGGATTGTCTGAAACGTGCATTTGCTCCCTCAGGAAGAAGATGGACTTCGGATGAGGAAGACGGCGCAGAGCAACAGCCCCATTCCTTCATTGGCCACGGCAGGGAAGGAGGAGGGCCTCAGCACCCGGCTGCTCGCGCTGGTAGTCCTGTTCTTCATCGTCGGTGTCATCATAGGGAAGATCGCCTTGTAGAGGCAGCATGTGGAGGGGGGTCGATTGGATTGATGGATCCGCCATATCATGGGATTTAAATTTACCATAACCATGTATAAAAAGAAATTATGTATGATGACATCTCACAGGTCTTGCCTTTTAAATTACCCCTTCCTGCGCCTGCGAGTGCACCCATACACAAATGTAACACAATGTAACAATCTTTTAGAAAGATACAAATGCATAATACATGATGGGGAAAAGAATGATCTTTGTTAATGATAAAGGAAGCCATGATTAAATGGTAATGGCATGTTGTAAATGTCATTTTAAACATCCGTAGCCTTGGTCCATGTCGCTGGTTACCTCTCTGAAAACACGACTCTCTTCCTTGCCTGGGTGCCGGCCTGGGAGCCAGAGCCCAGCGTGGTGGGAATACCATCCCTCCACAGTTAGCCCACGCTGCTCGCTCGCTCCCAGGCTTCTTGTCCGTGTGATGCCTGGGCCATCAGTTCCTTGGGACTGATGAGCAGAGTCAGCCGCCGAGGAGAATTGTGCTGTGGCGGCATGGGCAGGGTGCTGGACACGGGTGGGCATGGGCACCGACTGGCCCATACTTTGGAAGGAAAAGCCAGTGCTTTGTTCTCTTAAAGGGACCAAGCTAAATTCCTGTTGGTTCACGTCGTGTGATTGAACTGTATTCGGAGATGTTTAATGCATATTTAACTTATCTAATGTATTTCATCTCATGTTTTCTTGTCACAAGATTATAGTTAATGCTGTGGCCTAAAAATCACCTGTGCTACATAATGCCGCAGTTGAAGCTGGCATATGGCCAGAGGGCTGTGGACTCTGCATACGCATATACAGACGTGTGGTTCATTTGAATGTTGGAGAACAGCAGCCAGGAAGTATTTTTCTGTGTAAAAAATTAACTATCAGAGGGAGGAAAATTTGTAGTAGCAACAGTAAACTTGATTGTACCCTTTTTAATGGAGAAGAGCAGCCGATCTTTTATATTGCTCTCTCACTGCCCACCCCTCAGCCAGCACTCACACTTCCAGCACAGGAACCCCAAGCCTGGTCCTGATCCGACCTTACAGGTCCAGCTGGGGATCGGGCAGTGAGTTAGGCAGCAGAGGGTTAGGCGAGGGAGTCAGCCGCCGGGGCAGGGAGGGTTGCGTGAGGGGCTCTGCAGGTAGTCCATCTAGCACGTGGTAACTGAGAGTTTGACTGTGGAATCATTTTATGCCGTAAAAGACCAACCCAATTCTGTTTGACTATGTAGCATCTTAAAAAGAAAAAAAGTAAAATAAATCCCCAAAATCCAGAGTTCTTTTGTCATTTTGTCACATTTGCTATATGTGAGGAATTATTATTTTTATCATAATCATTATTATTTTGTCATTGGAAGGTTGATTTTAAAATGTACCATACCCATGAGAAAATATATGTTTAATTACACACACACACACACACACACATTTGGGGTGTTGGCTTCAACTGCAAATATAAAAATAAAATTGCTGAACATCGTAAGCCCCGGTCTCCCTTGCCCTTCCATTGCTTTGCCTGCCTCTCAGGGCAAAGAAACCTTCCCTCTGGGTTGAGGAGCCCTGCAGAAGAGACTAGAGGGAGGTGCACTGAGATGGCTCTAGTGTGTGAGTGGGTATAAAAGACAGATTCATCAACAGGAAGACAGTTCTTAGAAGCCATATACCCCGAGTCCTCTTCCCCCGAGTCTGGCTGGGCAGCATGGCCCGAGGTTCTGGCTCTGGTGATCTGGTCAGGACCTAGCCTGGAAAGCGGGAGTCTGGTTAGTCAGTAACTTGCTGTCTTCACAATAAGGTCACTCCGTGTCCTGAGTATGTCCTGCACCTGTCGCACCAGTTGCACTGAGCAGGCAGCCATGGAAGGCTGCCCGTTGTAAAGGAGTCTCCGTAGTTTTCCCATGTGGGTCCTGGGAGTGAGCTGCGAGGCATGTGGACTGAAATGTGTCAGGTGTGGGCCCACAGCAGACTAGTCCTTTTGCCTCCCGTGCCGTACCTTGGAGGGAATTGGAGTGGTTAGGAAGGCCGAAAATGTCCCGTGGCTCTGGAGCAGGGGCTGCATACTTGCTCTTAAAGGACATGGCTGTGTGTTCCAATAAAGCTTTATTCACAAAAGCAGTTTGTTGGATTTGGCCTTTGAGGCTGCAGTTTGCTGGTGCCTCCCTAGGGTGACTAAGTTCTTAGAGTGCCTGGGAAGCCTCTGTTTTGGGTCTTTGAACGTGACAGCATTTCGTGGACATCTGGAAGCAGGTATTCAGCTTCTTAAGAGTATAGGCATTTTGTAGCTAAAAATCAAAATTTTAAATCCAGAGTTGTCTCTTTTTTCTAATTAAACATCCTGTAAAATCTCCCTCTTAGAGGTTCGAACTTGGGGAACACGTTACTTTGTGGGACTTTTTGGCTGAGTGGGAGAAGGGAATTCCGCAGTGAGGGTAGTGGCAGGGAGATTGGCTGTTCTCTGAATTGGCCTGGTCAGTAAAGAATGTGTCACAAGAGAATGTGTGAGGGAGCCAGCTCTGCTAAGGTTTAGGGGCCACTTTAAGAGCCGTAACACTCAAGAGGTTGGCCCTGGAGAAACGCACATTTCGGGGGCCTTTTCTGGAAAGGGAAAACCGAGAATAAGGCAGAGATGTGGATGTGCACGGTCCTATCACATGTTCTGTTCTATCCGGCGAGGGTGGGAGTCAGAAAATCGAAATAAACGGTCACAGAACGAGGCTGACGTTGGTTGGGGTGCTGGCCAGGAACGGAGCTGGGCACTGCAGGCAGGTTGGCCACTGGTTCCGTAGCACCTCAGAGCCTGGTGCCCTTGTTTTAGAAATACCCACCATGCAGTTCGCAAGTACTGAGATGTAAGCAGTAACAGAGTGCCATAAATTTTTATTGATCGCATTTTTAAATGGATAATTTAAGCTCCCTTGGCACGATACAAAAATACCTCTTGAAGAGAGCAGACTAAAATTTGTAGGTGTGAGGACCCGGCTTTAATTTTTTCTCTCCTAGTTTGCATGTTTTCCCTCATTAGTCTTTCTAAACTGCTGGCACCAGCAGTAATAAATACTGATAAAATCAAAATTGATTTTTACCAGTGGACAGTTTATGCCTAGAGAGATGGCTTATACCTGCATAACACAAAAGGGGGAAAATGAAGAACCTCCAGTGATCCGTGTAAACCTAAACGCTTTCAAACAAATTCTAGGAACAGAATTGCTATTGAGAGATACCAGTGCTGACGGTGGCGAGTCAGACAGAACTGAAGGCAGTGATAGCTCAGAGCTAAATAGCCTTTCAAATTAATTTGAAAACAAGCCGTGTGTGTGTGTGTGTGTGTGTGTATGTGTGTGTGACATGTATCATATGTAAGTAGCTTCCCATTTTTCCAATGGTGCCTATATTGTTTGCACACACAAATCTCTGTATTTGCAAACTCTGAATCTATGCCAAAATGTAATACCATTTGTCATTTTTGGTTCCTTTTCTAGAGAACTGGCCCATTTACAAAGTTTTTTTTTTTGAGTGTGTTTTTTTTCTGGTGTGTTTGTGAAATTCTCGGTTTACAAGAGAAACGTAAGGAGAAAAATGCGACATGGGCTGCAAAGTCACCTGAACACTGGAATGACCTTGACCTCTGAGACTGAGTTGGCAATGGCCTTGGATCCCAGAGCAGCCTCCCCTCCCCCTTTCCTTTGAGCCCATCTGGCTAGAGAAGGCGCAGTAAAACTATGGAATGAATCAAAAGTTAGGAGTCCTGCTGTTGCTGAAATGGAGTAGGACTTAATCCTAGCCTGAAGAGTATGTGGGTGACTACGGTTCATAGTATGCAGATCCGATCAGGCCCTTGGGGCCCCCCTGTACCCCATGTGAAGGGCCTGAATCACTGGGACATTGTCTCAACCTCAGAGTCACACAGGTGACCTCAGGGAAGGCTGTGGTGAGCTAACTCCCCATCTCGCACTGGCGGTATACACCTTTATGCATCTGCCGCCCTCATACCTTACGTAGTTGCTTTACGAGAAAGTGGGTAGAATCAGGACTTTCCTTCTGATGGTTTTTGGTTTTGGAACTTGAACACATGTCAGACAGTGAAGAAATGCGTTTCCATCTTCCCAGTGCCTGCAGCCTCTGCCACGTGCTCCTGGAAATGAGTCTGGGGCTTCAAGGAAGCAAATGAGCAGTCTGTCTTGGGAGGGAGGGAGGGAGGGAGGGAGGGAGGAGGGTGGTGGCCCAAATTAACTGGGAGCCAGGACAGCTCATTAGAATGGGCGTCACAGGAGAGGCCTGCCAGGGTTAGGAAACAGCCAGCTGCTGGTCTCCGCTCTCCCGAATCAGGTTGCATTTCTCCGGGAAATCGCCAATGGGAGCCAGTAATAGCAGGCCTGATCCGGAGCATTGGCCCGGAGGCAAACCTGTGAGGCTGGGAAAGTAGATCTCAGGCCAGATTCCCAAACCCTGCTCCTTATCCGAGTCCCACCAGCAGCAGACAGCCTCTGAGACCATTAGTTGGGGCGCATAAGGCCACCCCCAGCTCAGGTCGAGAGACTCAGACCTTCCTTTGAGGGGTTGCTTGACACCACTGACAAATAAGGTTTTGTTTTAATTTATTTTCATTACAGAGATATTTTGAAAAAATTTAGAAGACGTGTGCTCACATGCACGGCTGTGCATCATAGTTAAAAGTGAAACCATGGAGGTGGATGAGAGGCTTCCCCATTAATGTAATTACTTCGGATTTTTTTCTTAATGGAATTAATTCATTAGAAAATGTTGGCATCCGATCCGTAGGAAAGGAAGACAAAGCTAGCAACAAAAATATAGCTATTATCTCACTTGCCATAAATATTTGCAATTATGATACCTTGGAATGCTGCCACGATATGGATTGCTTTGATTAAAAGATGTCAGTTGAATAAAACAGTACGGGGGGATAATAGTTTTCTGCTACTAGATAAATGCTAATGTTTATTTTTAAACCCGGAAACATTGATCCTGTAACAATGCCCCGTTACAATTACTTTATTATCCTTGGGGGTTGATGTATATTTAATCATTTGGCTAATGGATGTGAGTGCTGTCCTGAGGCTGGCTCGCTGTCCCGCTTGCATTCTGATGAGCGGCAGGAGCCCCCCGGGCTGCTCAGGTGGGGCAGCTGCAGATGGGGCTGCTCAGGTGGGACTGTGGCTCCCGAGCTTCGTTTCACTGGTATCCAAAGCCAGGTCTGGCTGAAACCAAACGGATTACCCTTTATTTTCTGTTTCCCTTCAGTAAACACAGACCAGGGGAGACAAATCAGCCATCTTAACACAATTTCATTAAGGCTTCGTGCTAACAAGGACGCATCGCCTTTCGCAGTTGAAGCTGATGATCAATGAGCTTGCGTGTTGCTCACCTTGATGTGATGGCTTTCCATGTAACACCCAAAGGGCTGGTTCTTTTTGCCTGCATTCCCATCTTTCTTTAGGATTTCAGAAGTAAACTAATTTCAGCTGCTACCCTCTCCAGCATTCATTTAGAAATTTTTTTCCCCATTGACCCTTTTACTTGGAATCAAAGATCAGAATTGATTGTCTAATTCTGAGACCACGTGGACAAGAACAGCTTCTTGCTTTTCCTCATTTACTTACTCATTCAGCAAACATTTATCAGTTCACCTTCTCTGTTAATTACCGTGGGAGATGCCAAGAAATTAATCAATGGGAGTGATTGGTTTTTGGTTTTCATTTGTAAGCAATAAGGTGATCCAAGCTTATACATAGACTAGAAAAATGCATTTTGCTCTCATATCTGTTGGTAGTGTTTTCTCTTTAAAGACCGTTTATAAACTGCCATTTGGAATTTCCTATAAGAAACTCAGAATGATCTATTTAAATGTTCCCTTCGCCTCCCCTCTCCTCTTTGAGTCAAGAAGTATTTTATTACGTCCTGCTGTCCTCCCTGCTTTACATCTTTTTGTCTGTCTGGAGAGATCTCCGCAGCGTGTTTTCATTGTGACTTCAATGTACATTAACATTTGGGGAATTTAGTGTTTTAAGGATGTCTTAGAATGCTTTAGATTGCATATTTTTTCTTTGATGTATTTTAAGTTGAATATCCTATTTGGACATGGGATTCATTTTAAAAGTTGGTGCAGGAAAGGATTCTCCACCGTCATACATTCTGGTTATTTGATATGTAATCGGTTGGAGGTTTTCTGGCTAACGTGGCATTTGCCAGAGGGAAGGAGATGTATTTCCACTGTGTCCAAATCCAAAGAGACATGCACAGCGTGCTCTCACATGTTCCGTG